GCCACTCCTGTACATAATTATCACTAAACCTTTAACTTCTCATCACCTTTTCATTTATATTTTTTGAATTTTTATTTTATGCATAACATCTTAATCATCTTTATAACCCCATGCCCATCAGCACTCTCCCATATTCCCCCCAAAACATTCCATACATTCTGTCATTATGTTAAGGGGTATCAAGTCAAGTTACTGTACCCAGACATTTCTCACTGCAAGTTCATCCACTGGTATCTAGTCATTCTACCTAGAGTCACTCCCTTAAAGAAGATCAGCTCTTCCTCACCTAGCAGTAAGGAATTGCCCAATAGTTCTTCAGTTAAGATTGGGCCTGCTGTCCGTTTCCCTAGTTACTCCTGGGTTTTTCTCTGCTTGCAGTTGCCTAGGTCTTGTGCTTGCTGTCATTATTGCAGTAAGTTCATATGAGCAAGGTCCCAGGAGCCTGTAAAATTCTTTTTCTATATGGTCATGCATCTCCTTTCTTTTTAAGTGGAAGTGCAATTTCAGATATAAGAATAATATCTTTCTACTAAAACAGAGAAGATAAAGTAGAAATCTGAAGGCATCTAACATGTTCTTTTACAGTTATTATAGATATTTAAAATAATTATAAATAGAATAATTAGACTTCAATATTATGTAGAATATATGTCACACTGTATTAGTCTAAAGCTATTAAAAGTTAAAAGAAGACAAATTCTTTTAAGATTCTTATGATCTAGTTAGGGTTTATAAACAAAAGTGAAAGAGAAGGAAAAATTGAAAGCTGTGACTATACTTTAAAAGGAACTACAAAAATATAAAAGTAAGGAAGGATTTGGCTCAGTTTTTCTAGAGGAAGAGAAGTTTTAAAAGCCAAGTTCTGAGGTGTGCACAACTGTGGTCAACAAACGTTACTGACTGTCAGTCATCATTGTTACTGTTATTGGTACCTCGTGGTGGTGGTGGTGGTGGTGGTAGTAGTAGTAGTAGTAGTAGTAGTAGTAGTAGTAGTAGTAGTAGTTCATTATTATTGCTATTCTGAAAACTTAGCTATTTACTCCTTCTGACTGTCAAGGACTGTGGTATGGAAGACCTAGATACTTTTTACCCTAATCTATGTTGCTCCAAGAGTCTATGGCAAAAATAACAATAACTCACAATAGACCTATGGATACTTTTGTTTTACAAAATAATTTATTGGGGCTGGAGAGATGGCTCAGCAGTTAAGAGTACTGACTGTTCTTGTAGAGGGCCCAGGTTCGATTCCCAGCATCCACATGGTGGCTATGAACTGTCCTTAACTCCAGTTCCAGAGGAATCTGAAGCCCTCTTCTGACCTCTGCAGCATTGCACAACACGAGTGCACTCACATACATACAGGCAATACACTCACACACATAAAATAAAAAGCAAATAAAATATTTTTAAAAATTAATAATTTACTAAATGAAAATATTTTCCAATAAAACCATCATCAAAGCATCAAACTATTCTGTTTTTCCCCAAATAATGAAGCCATACCAAGTAATCTGAGGATATACTAACAGTCACTACGGTAGCACCAACTGGAAAGTTTTCCTCTTGAGATGAGTTGATAGTTAACATGTGTAACAAAATAGTAGAGACTTAGTCCAGTAATTCTATTCAAAGAGTAACCACAATTTGGGCCATGGAGATACCTGCTAATTCTCCAAAGTATCTTCTGAACCACCTGCTGCTCAGTGAAAGCCCTTATGATGGTTCATGTGTGAAGTCCATGCAAATGAACACATGCACAGTATGAACGATGAGAACTGGGCACCACAATCATTCTCCCTTAACTACAACTCCAAATAAAGTATGTGCTATGCCTGGAAAGAATATACATATATGAGAACAATACTGCTTAGTGACTCAGGATCAAACCTGTGTGAATTGCTAGGTGATCAGAAGCAGTAGATATGATTCTCACTCTCTCACTCTACTCCTGACCTTCCCTACCACTAAAAATAATCCTCTGACAGAAGCCCTGCCCATATAAAAACACCTGAATAGGACCCAGCCTCTATGGCAGAGTGCATAGGGTTTGAAGGGGGCATGGAGGGAGGCATGAATGGGGGAGAGGGTCTGGATTTGTGTGGGAAATGAATGAAATTTTAGAAGCTCAATAATTTAAAAAAAGACCAATAATAGAGTTTTCCTTTGTGCAGCATTTTTCTATAAAATATAAAGTAATTTCATTTAGGTAAACCTTGCCTACCAAGTCAATTGTATGCAAAAAAAAAAAAAAAAAAAAAAGGATACAGCACTTATTTCTCTGTCTTTTTACCCTGAGTTTCCTCTCATCTTGATTACAGTTTCCTGAGACTCTCAAATCATTTTGAATGCACAGATATTTACCCTTAGTTTTCTCCTTCAGAAAGATTGTACAGAGGTGACTAGAGTCAGAGTTTTGCTTTCCTTCCTAACCGGCAGCAGACACAAAAATGAACCAATGGTGCCAAATTATGAAAGGTTTTGATGTGCAGGTCACAGGGACAGTAAGTAGGCAGGGACTGTAATCTAAACAGATTTTCTCAACAGTCAGAGGTGCTGCTGGATCTGGTTTTATTTTTTCCTTTTACAAATATTGTTAAAGTTACCAGTAATTCCTATAACATTCTGTAAGACTTGTCTATGTGTGAATATTTATGTAAAAAACACTGTAGTTCTGCAAATGAGTTGGCTTGTTCTTCTCTTCAACCAAATTCCTTGGTGTTCTTCAGGAATAAATGCTTACTTATACAGATACGGCATCAGAATTTACTTTGGACATCTCTCCTCTGGTTATGGAAATTTGTCTGAGGGTCCTAATAGGAGACCCACATGATGGCAAATAAGATCTGGTGGCAGTTCTGACCTTGCAACTTATATTTGTTCACAAAAGTAACACCTTTACAACTCACTATTTTCCCTCTGAAAATGGCATCATTAGGACTTACACATTTCCCTATCAATGTGATTTTTAAAAATTATGATTTGCTAAAAAGAAAAAGCCCAAATGGATCAATGCCAACTTTTCTTTTTTATTCATCAAAGAGAACCTTTACACTATATTGAGACCATTAATTCAGACTTGCAAAGCACATGAACACAATAGATGTTTGTTAAAATGTCATTTCCATTCTCTACCAACTTTCCATTTCACAAGTGGGTAAATTCCACGTGAAATGTTAGCAGTCCAAATCAGTACCATTTAATTGTTACTAGCTACCTCTTGAACCTTGTCCTTGTGCCATCCCACATCTCTTCCTGTTTTTCTTTGTTTTAACCAAACAAGGTTTCTTCTCAGCTCCCTGACCTGGGTCATCATTTTAGAGCCTGTCAACGATGGCTTCACCTGCTTGCTCCAGCTTCAACTTCTAGACAGGAGGGGTTAAAGGAACTTGTAGCTGAGGCTGACCACTCCCTATCCTGACCCTTCCTGCTCATCCTCTCCTAAGCCAAAGTCTGGCTTTAGAAATGGGGAGGGGGCTTCCTTAGAGTGATGACACGAGGCTCTCTCTCTTCCTTATCCTTCATATTTTTCTTTCCACCTGTGGAATGGAGAAGGCTCTGACCGCCCTTGTCCCTGTGGTTGCCATGGTTACCGAAAAGTAGCAGCATAGAACTCAGGAGGGAGGGGACTCCTACCACCTCCTTTGCCCACACATAACTTTCCTTCAAGTTGGAAAATTCTCCCCCTCCCATACATTTGCGCACACATTCAGTAGAATCTTTTTCTCCTACACTTGATTAGGTCATCTCCAATTCCCTGCGCTGCCTGTTTCGCTGGTACAAATAGCGCCAGCCACCTAAAGAGGAACGTGAAGGCTTTGGGAAAAGAAAGAAGATCCACTTAGGAATACTGTAGTTTATTACAGCTTGACATTAAATGGTGAGAAAAGTTTGCCTATTTAACTTTGATATCTTTAAAACCGAATCCCAGAGGTCAGCGGCCCCAGCTGCTAGGCGTGCGTCTCCAATTCAGTTTCCACATTCCAGACTGCACTGCCAGAGCGAGAAGTCTCCTCCTCCTGTCAAGTCCCTCCTAACGCTGGGACCAAAGCAAAGCAACTCAGCCCATGAGACTAAGCACAAGTCATCAGAGAAGAAAATCCAGTGCCAAAAACAGCCCGCAGGGCTGTCAGAGCAGTTGACTAACGGGTGGACTCTGGGTGCATGATCTGCAAGCCCCAGACCGGACAGACACTCTCTGGAGGAGGGCCGCCCTCGGGGTTAAATGTCCAGCAGGAGTCAACCCCCCACCCCCACTTCCATGGCTACAAAGGATCCCCTTGCTCCACAACAGTTTGCCTTAACTACTTTTCACAGCCAGTGAGCTTTGAGGCTGGTGTGTGACTCCAACTTTCCCCTCTGAAACTAGAGGGATGCGCACTTCCAGCAGACCACGCGCTGCGGTTCCTTGACAAGGAAAAAGCCTTCCTCAATCCCTTTCCCTAACTGCCACAAGCAAAACAACCACCTCGCACTGCCTTCTTCTTCTGTGCCCCGAGACTGAATTTAAAAAAAAAAAAAAAAAGGAGCGAGCTAGACGCAATTGTACTTTGCTTAAATGATCCCGGACCGCCCCTGCCAACTCAGCTACAAAATGAACCTGTAGTTGTCTGGAGCCACGAGGCTGGTCCCTAAGTGTCCTCCGGTACCTGGGTTGGGGAAGTCACCAGGGAAAGCGGGGCGTCCAGGGAGCCAGCAGAGTTCACAGACGTGCCCGGGGAGGATTAGTGCTGGCCTCGGGGGCTCTGAGTGGAGTCGGGGACAGAGTCCCTTGCCGCCACACCGTCCCCGAGACGCGGCGGCTCTGGAGCCGGTACCAAAGCGCGCCCACTCGGGTGAGCTCTCCGGTCCTCACATTCAGGGCTGGGCTCCCCGTCTCCCAGGCGCTGCCGATTACCCTCACTTGGGCGCGCCATCACCCCCTCATCCGACCATCCCTGCTTAACGCTCCTCTCTGGAGCACCCTCCCCCTGGAGTAGCAGGTGACCCGAGTCCAGACTTACCTGCCAGGCACTCTTCTCGCCTTCCCCCTCCCTCGGACTCCGTTTCTGGGGCAAAGGAAGGGCTTACGGGGTGAGGCCAAGCGACCCTTGACCTGGGGTCCGGGCGCTAGTTCCCGGAGCAGTAGTACTGGGTTGATGAACCGAGGAGCCGGGCGGCCCTGGCCAAGCGTGGAGGCGGCGGCCGCAGAGGCCGGACTCGGAGGCAGGGGGCGCTCCGGCTCCCGGAGCCCCGTGGACAGCGACGCACCAGCTGGCGCTTTGGCCAGGAGAGTGTGCTGAGGAAAGGCACGCTTCTAACAGGAGGGCGGCTTTTAAGTTTGTGGTGTGACCGCAGCAGCTGTCCTGGGAGAGACTCGGTCTTTCTAAATAGGGGCTGTTCAAAACGCCGGGGATTACCTCCCCCTTCCGATCTCCTCCCCCAGCTCCAGGCCCCTTCCCAAAGCACAAACCTTCCCTTGCCGCGGAAGGCCTTCCCTGACTGCACCCAGGCAGTCCAGAGCAAGGATTTAGAGGCAGTTCCGGCCGCAAAGATGAGTGCTTTTTTGAGATGGGGCATCCTGTCTGTAAACCAACCTGTGACGTTCCAGTCTGGCCCTGGGTGGTGGTTTAGGGCCCGTGTCTTCTTTCTCTGAGCTAAAGTTTCAGGCCAAAAATAAATAAATAAACAAACAAACAAACAAACAAACAACCCCCAAACCAAAAATAAACTCCGACCCCCCCAAAAAAAAACAAAAACAAAAAACAAACAAAAAAACACCAAGGGGTTGGGTGACCACAGATGTCATCCTAAAAGATCCCAACTGTCACCAAAAAGCATTGGTATTTCCCTGTGTAAAACTTCACCCTACAATGAATGTCGCTCAAGTGCTGAGCAACATCAACACAATCAGCCCTTCTCAGTGGGAGGGCAGCCCTGAAGGGCCAAGTGGAAATAAGGCAACATGGGTGCCTTTAACTTTTCCTCATACCAGGCCTGGGGGGGGGGGGGCGTTAATTTTTCTTTTATAAAGTTTCTTTTGTAGATTTTTGCTCACCTTGATCACACAAGAGGAATTTGGATATGAGAACAAAGCTTCGGCACACCTTATGTGAAACCTAGAACTTACCAGTTTAGAGGTGGACTCCTAAGCAACATTGCATAGACAGCTTACTTTGGTAAGTTTGTAAAAAGCGAAAGACAGTGTAACGCCAAGGCCCCAGTGATACCTAAGCAAATGACAAGGGATAGGTTAGTTGGGAGTGATGGGAAGACATGAGTAATACTGAAAGAAATGATAAGAATGGAAGAAACTCTTACTTCACACCAATAGCAGAGAACAGGGGATCACAGAAGGTAAACGTGTCATCAGTGGCAGAATAAGGCTAAAAAGGTACTTAAGTTTCCTAACTCTGACCAAGGTTGTTTCTATGTCTTATGCTACCCTATCTCTAAAGCTTTGATGCCTGTCAACCAGCCAAACCATAATCTTTCTCCTTGCATACAGGCAAATAGAAATCCTCACAGATTATTTAATCCTTAGCACCTGCTCTTTGGATATTTCCTAGTGAATGCTGTATCCTTCCATTTGTAACTGATAATGCCCTTAGTGTATTTCTTGCATTCCTCTCTAGTTTGGCATTGTTTGATTTATTTGTATCATTAGCTCCTCATCAAAATTCCAAGTTCCTTCTGAGGACACAGTACTTTTTTATTTCCCACAGCACAATCTTGTGTTATTCACAAAGAGGATTCATGATAATTAGCTTTGATTTTAAGAATTCTTCATTAATTTTTAATAATCTTCTCAGTATTTTGCCCAGAATATGTTTAACCAGAATTGCTGTTAACTCTGGATTTGCCCCCTTTCCATCCTTTCTAAATCACATAGTTTAATATTCGTAAACTAAAGGACTTCCTCATTGCTACCATTTCGACGTTTCCACAAAACCCCTACAGGATAAATCATTCCCTCCTGTTTTCCTAAAGCACTTAGATTTCAGAACTATTATAAACTCTCTTCATGTTATAGCATAATCAGTTATGCATGTGTCTGCATTCAATACAAAGTGTTGGCTCTTTGTGTTTATTTCCCCAGCTCTAATACAAAGCCATGATTTTGCATTGAAGTGATTTGGTTTGAAGTACCCTCACTTCAAATTGAGACTGAATTAACTAGGGCCTTCTGAATGTACCATGAGAAGACAACATCTGGATCATGGGTTCTATGCTTTCTTTCCTTTGAATTACTTGAGCATTAAGCAGGCAGGATCAACTGCAGAACCAAAACTTATGATGAATGGTCTCAGCTGAGATTGAGGTTTTAAAATCCCCAGAGTTCTTCCTTGAAAATCCTGAATGTGCTAGCTGTTTAGCAAATATGTAGGCATTAGATAAGTTGATGAAAACAGTGCGTATGATGAGGATGGATTGGTAATAGAGATTGTAAAGTTTATGTCAAGAGACAATGAAAATGAAGTTCAAAAATAAGCCATTTAGTACTTGTGTTCTTAAAACTTGTCCTAACTTGCCCATACATAAAACCTTATAATAAACACTACTTCTGAATTTTTCTCACACATTAACACATCAGTATTGAAAGTAAAACAGAAACTGGGGCGTATGACAATTTATATCAAATTGGAGCAAGTGATAGCATGAGCTGGATATGGCTCACCTTCTGTAAGGTATTTCCCTTTATAAGCATGTTTTCTTCTACTTCATTTGATCATAGAAATTCACTCATCAGCACTTCGTTAGATATTTACATTAGAAGGTCATTAAGCATATATAGTTAGTGGTGGAAAAGAGCACACTTAGCTTGCCTCTTTTACAACTAGCTATACACATCCACAACCGCTTCTCATCTTCAAATGAGAACAGAAGATGATTTATAGCTAGTTTGTCAGAATGCAAAACTGTCTGAACCTCACTTTAAGTCTTCAGGTTGAGCTTCTGTATAGCATAGATAATCATAAGCATTCAGAGTTAGAGAATACTTTGGAGACTACCTAGAGAGTAGTCTGCTAAGGAGACCAGGGGCAAAAGAGATGGAGTGACAACCCAGCTCCCAGACTCCTGCCCTGATGTCATCTCTACACTGTTTCACCCTGCTATAGGATCTAAAAAAAAAAAAAATCAGCTATTTTTCAAGCCCTTCCAAGCCAGAATCTTAGGGTTATATTTACTTAGCTGGGTTAGGGTGTGGTGAATAATTAAATTCAGCAGGAATGTGTTTCAAAATAAAAATACAAACACAACCCTGCCCCTTTGGCAAAAATCCTGCGACCACAGAAAAGAAAAACCTCCTTGACTTGACTTTGAACATTCACTAGAAGCTGGAAAGGTTTTCCATGCTTGACATACAAGTCAAAATAGCTATTACAGAAGGAGGGATTTCTGAAGTCAAATAAGTGATTCTTTGTTTTTATTTGTGACAGTTGTACTTGTATCAATAAACAACCCCCCAAGGAAGGAATCTGAGGAAAAATAATAATTTCCCTACATACCATATGCAAAGGATACATTAAGTTTGCTTTTCTTAATATCTTGTCATCATTCCACCGTCAGAGCATATGTGAGGAATAGTGTAGTGTTCTACAACAGTGATAATGACGACTTCATGTAATACCTAATTGAAACAAACCCTAATTGTACAAGGGTGGTGAAATGAAGAAAAATATGCCTTCTTGTGGCTTATTTGTTCTGGTTCGAAAATAATCAACAATGCTCAGTTGTTTCTTGAAACCCAAATGTACCTATATCCCAAGTGGAATGAAACTATTCCTTTGTGCAGTACTGGAAAGAGCAAGTCCATAAAGACAGCAGGCAGGCATTTTCTGCCTTGTTCAAGGTCACACACAGCTACTGAGCCACAAAGAAATCAGTATCTATGAAAACAGAGGATGATTTTCCAAAATAACCCACAGATTTGTACAAAATAACCCACAGATTATTATCAAAATGCCTTCCACATAAGTGCATTAGGTAAATTTTCTTTCTTTATGTAGTAAGGTTTGTTTTGTACAGATGTAAACAATCAGTATTACAAATAGGAGGAAATTTGTGATTTCCTTCTCTACTGTATTTGTGCCTGTGCTATTTCTTTCAGTGTGAATTCAGGCTAATTTTTTTCATTGAAATAGTAAAATATATAATTAAGCAATTATAAGAATACTGTTTCATTTTCTATGGGTTTTTTTCCTTTTCTTTTCCCACTTTATCCAAAAATAAGGATCTAACGAGTGTGTTGTATTCTATGATTCTCAAATATAATTTATGTTGCTGCAAGAAAATATCCAACATGCTTTTCTGAAACAATTTACATAGTTTACTGGAAAATGTCTTCCATGTTAATTAGTTTTCTTTTACTTTCACAAAATACATGAGAAAAAATAAAAACTTTGTCTTAGTTTTTTGAAGAGTCCAATCAGTGATGACGTCATTTGCTGCTTTGGTGCTTATGAAAAAGCAGCACAAGATTTAGGAATATGCCATGGGGCCAGCTTCTAAGTTCCTCTGATTTTACTTCTTATCCCTACTTCAGTTATTGCCTACTGTCTTTCATATGATCTGGTTAAATTACCCTTATTTTTCAGAAACTTTGTGATTTTATTTCCTATTTCTTACCATTTCCTAGCTAGGAATTGAAAAGAGAGAACGGAAAGAGACCAGACTTCCACAATACCCTGGACCCAAGGACAGAAACACCTTCCACTGTGTTGTACTGTTTAAAGATTTCACCAACCATGGGCTGTGTGCTAAACCTCAACACAGGAGCCTTTGGGATACATTCCAGATCCATAATATGGCAGGCTCAACTATTTAAAAGAATTGAGCTCATATAAACTGTGATTGAAGTAATTTATTAACTCAGTGAATACCACAGGCACAGAAGAGACTGGATTACTAAATCCACAGTCCAATCTGTAATGATAACTATTTTATTAATAACAATATCATATCATTATTAGTCAGAGAGATAATAGACTGGTTAAAATCATACCAGTTCACTGAATCTGCTTTGTGTAATAATGGGCCACTGGGCACTTCTAATCTGTACTGTTAGTTTGGCAAAACACTGCCAAAATTATCCAAATCCTACTGATCTGAATTAATAAAGGCAATTTTTCAAGTTCCAATTTAATGTTTGGAAGTTCTATTGCTTTCCTGTGCTACATGGTAATATGGAGTGATCCTTGAAGAACAGATATATTGCCAGTAGAATTAGAATCTGCAAAGAATATTGATTTAATAAGAAATATTTTTATTCAATTTTAATTTAGTATTAATAAATCATCATAATACCATTAACAAACCGTGTTCACTTTTTACTTGACGCTTCATTAAATGTATTTTTATGTCAAAGTGTTACTTCAACTTCTATATTAAAAACCTGTGGCAATCCATATATTTTAAAGCAGATTCCTGATTTTACTATATTTAAATCTACAGTCTAAGGAGAGGAGATGGTTGTCAAAGGAAGTATTAG